GGCTCAAGTTTTTCTTTATGGCAGAATAGTTCTCCATTGTGTGTAAATACCACATTTTCTTTATCCATTCATCTGCTGAGAAAGTATGGGCCACTTTCAAGAGTTAGCTATTATGAATTGTGTTGTCATAAGCAAGGGTATGCAATCAATGTATCACCATAATATAATTGTACAGGGTTTTTTTGTTTTGTTTTATTTTGTTTTGGTATCGGGGATTGAACTTGGGTCCTTGCGCTTGCACAGCAGGTGGCAAAACCACTGAGCTAAATCCTCAGCCCTGTACAGTGTTTTAAATAGCCTTAGGCAAAGACAAACAAACATAGACAGCCAGGACATCATTAAATTTCAAAGTCACAGTTTTTCCTTATGTTACATAAAATGTTCTTCATCGCAGCTAATATTTTACACTAAATAAGGGACTATAACTTTTTTGTTTTTCAGAAATTGATATTATATATCCAAAAAGGTAAAAAGTTACTTATAAAAATGCTCCCATTTCATTCCTTGTGAATTACATACTTAGCCTGCTGAATCCATTGGTCCATAGATTATCAGCAGTACTAAAAATTTTTTCCATACCAACAGTAGACACTGGAATCAAAATATAATTTTGAGCCAGTGTTAACATATTTGGAGCTACAGGCTCTTTGTTGAAAAATACTTCCATGTCTCAAGGAATGTTATTCTCTCACGGCAAAGGAGCAAGATACCAATGTCCTCATAAAGTGAATTTAGAGGAATTTTTCTTTCCCCTTCCATAGAGATAATTTCCAAATTTGAACTACTTTACCAGAAAGGGATATTGTTGAGGGTTGTTTTGTGAATAGGCAAATGACAAATGCCACATAGAAGACACTCAGAGTATAAGGGAAATTTCTAAAAGCAGCCAACTTATTTTGCTATTTCACCAAGACTTGTGATCTTCCTGGCTTTTGACCTTATGGTTTATGAGTCCCATTTATCCCTTGGAGTATGTACTTGGCACTGTGAAAATGATTTAAAATCAATATGCAGGAACTCCATTTTTACCTTGCAAGTTTAGTTCACTTTGTATATGTGGCTAGAATCCTTTTCTCAATCTTAATGCTATATATTTTGCTTTCTGTGTTTTTTGGTAGTTTTTATCTGTTTTATTTATATTTTATAAAATAAGTTCTTGGGTTTAGTTATCATTTCCATAGACTTGATGTTTAGCTGTATTTTGTTTTTTAACATCAATTTCTAATTTTATCTGTTAATCTGTTTCTCCTATTTCCCCCTTATTTTCATGGCCTCTTAAATTGAATGGTTAGTTTGTTTATATTGCTTATTACTTGTTTGATTATAAATAAGTTTAAAATCATGAAATTTTCTCTCAATTCAGTTTTGGCCTGATCACATAATTTAACATATAGTGAGTGCTCTCATTGTTTGTGGTTTGTAAAGTCTTTAACCTTGATTTATAGTACCTCTTTTGCCTAAGCATTATTATACTATTTAGGAATTTGCAAGGAATTTGGATTTCTAGGTTATCATTATTATCTTTCTCTTTGCTCTTCTGTGCAGCAGTGTGGCAGTATACGGGGCTTGTTGCTTGTTGTTTGCTGAGTGAGATGCAAATATAATCACACAGTCAATTAAATTCTAACAAATATCATGGGTGGAGACTTCAGAGTACCCCAAGATTTCTAAACTTTATAGAAGGAGAGTTGCCTGTTAACATTTAGTGAATTTTTCATAATCTTACTTACTACCTCTTTCCTGAACTGGAATGGTTTGAGGATCTGACTTCCAGTAAGCAAGTACTATAACTTATTTTCTTGTATGCAGTTCTGATGTTTTTGTCCCGAGGCTTCCCATAAACTGTAAAATCTAAAGGACCCTTAGTTCATATGAGGTTTGTAGTTTGTGGTTCAATTTGTAATAAAAGTGTAAAACATATGTAAGTAAATGCTGTTATTTTCTGAATAAACAAACCCTACATTAAAAAAATTAATTTTAAAAGCATTTTATCAGTATAATACATGCACATTAATTTAAAAAAGATCACTGAGTACTAAAAGGCTGAGTGAAACAACTGATACTCCCTGCTCTCTCTCCACACCCCCTTCATTCCCCAGAGGCAACCACTTCCAATTATGTAGTGGTTTCTTCTGGTAGTTCCTGCCACATGCCCACTTGTGTGCTTCTGCTAAATTTCTTGGTCCATCTGCCTTGGACAGTGTATGGTAATTTCTTCATGTGGTAGACATTGGTTTTAATTTCCACAATCATTTTCATTTGTTCAGTAACACTCACTTTAGTTATTTCATTTTCCTTGATATTCTAATTCCCTTAAAAAAACCCTCACTTATTGATCATCTATTTACCACATACACATACAACCTTAAAATTTTTCTTTTGTTATATATACCTCCACACCCTCACCTGTGCCATCATATTGAGTCTTCTGCTGAGCCTTCTTTTTCTCTAGAGACACCCTTCTAGGGCTCGTCCATTATGGAGCAGTTGTTCTTAAGGCGTTCTCCTCATTGGACATCTCAGAATCTTCTTTACCACTCCTGGGTTGGGTTACCATCTCCCATATCCCATGTCTTCCTTTTCCTGGTTTATTCCTGCATTTTTTTTTGTACCGGGGATCAAACTCGGGTCCTTACGCTTGCAAGACAGGCGGCAGAACCACTGAGCTAAATCCCCGGCCCTCCTGCATTTTGCGGGGGGGAAATTCTCAGGCAGTTTTCACATATATCATAGAAAATATATGCTCTAAGTTTTTTCATGGATTCTTGCAACCTATGCATTCTTCAGCAGTCTGATGCTGTCCTGAATCTGATTCTGTAGGCACAGAATGAAGCAGATGAGTGAGGTTCACTAGATCCAGCCCTTGGTGTGTGTGCATGGAGTAGGGGGTGGAATTCAGATAACAGGCTGGTCACCTCTGAAGTGCAGTCCACACAGGTACTGGACAAGCTGCTGAGGTACAGTCCACACAAGTATTGGACAGGCTGGTAGGTAGGCTGAACATGGCAGGGGACATGGATGGTCACCCTGCGGGGACCAGAAAACCAGTGATGTGGACATTGGAAGCCAGCATGGCTCAGCCATAATGTGTGTGAGGATGACATTGGGGTTTGTTTGGCTGCTGGATGAATATGGGTGATTGTGAAAGAAATCACTGGGATTCTAGATTACATTAGCTAAAAACAAACAAACTTCCTGAACAAGGGAGGTCAGGGGGCTACTTAACTTTACAAGGGCAGTTCACACTAGGTATGTGGTTTTGTTCTGGGTATATATCGTTCATTTGGAAAATTTCTCTTCCTTCATCTAAGGGCTCATTTCAAATGTCATTTCACTCTGTTGCTTTCCCTCACACTTCCCTTACCCACATTCATTTATTATTTGTCTTGGTCTTCAGTCTTCATTTACTTACCATGTTGCTAAAAGATATATCTTGCTTCTCTATTAAATCAAGTCTCCCAGGGATATTCAGACAAGTCACTTAATCCTTGTGGTTATGAACTTGGAATAGAAGCAGTAATCTTGTCTCCTTTTTCATCTCTGGGCTTTGTAAATATCAGATGAGTTGTATATTACGGTGCTTTATAAGCAGCAAATGGAAGATGGTGTTACTTCCTGTCCATTTGTTAACTCTAATGAATAACAGCCTCAAGTTAGCAAGTCAGTTAAGCAGCTGTTATTCCTAGCATCTGTATAAGGGTCCCCACCCTGATGTATCCTGAATTTCTCAGTGGGAGAAGAACGGCTTGTTCTTTATTTTCCAACTTCTTTAGCACTGGAACCTTTCTTTCAGCTTATCTCTTGTCTCTCCTCCCTGAAGTTTGGGCTGTCACTACTTATGTTCAGTGGCCCGTCTCATGGCTGCATCTTCTAGGAAGGAATTGGCAGGGCCTACCCCACATAGCTTGGGGCTTCTTGATGTAGCAGACATGGCCTGGGATTCACAGACTCAAGACCTGGGAGCTGCACTGCTCCCCTGGTGCTGGGCAGTCAGCATTCCCCTACTCTGCTGCATGTAGGGCTGGTGAACACTGGCAGGTCTGTTGGTCCAGGTCTTTGCATGAGCCATTGGGGGTCTCAACACCAAGCTTGGCCATGGATGCTCCAGGCCAGAGGCCTGCTCTATTTATACTCCGGACTTACCCATTGATTTCTAATTCCAGAAGCTCTAGACCCTGGCTGCTGGACTTGAGGGAACTCCCAGCATTAACCACATGCTATGCCAAAGCCAGCCCTCCCGAGGAAACATTTCTTTTCAAGCTTTTCCCAGCCATTCTTTTCAAGCCAGGCCTCCCAACCTAGACTCCTTTCCTCAAAGTCATTGTATTTAAGGAGTCTTATTGCACTGGGCCTTGACTTGGGACATGCAGGGTGACCACAACATGAGATCTTAATCCTGAACAACAGGAATTCAGATCTCTACTCTTCCTTCCAAGAAGGTACCCTGTGAATATAACACAGGAAGATGCCAGGGAATCTGGAAGAAATAGCCTGGGTTGCCATCCTGGCTCTCCTGGAACTCTATGTGGCACGTGAGTTGTGAGTTGTATGCAAGTTCCCAGAGTCATCTGTCATGGAGATGGTGAGGGGAGAGAAGGTAACTGCGATTTAGGGAAAGAGACTTGGGGTAGCCATGAAATAATTTTTCAGGTTACCCGGAAGAATTTACTGTCACAGCCCCTTGCTATTGTAGGGTCTCTGTAGCACAGAGATCAGTGTTTTTTTTTGCTAGGGGTTCTGGCATCATGTAGCACTGTGGGGTAGGTGATTCAGGAGTACCCTCCAGGTGTGAAATTCTCTTAAAACAAGACCAAGGCTGTGCAGTTTTCCATCTCTACATGAAACAGCCTTTAAAAATCTTTTGTTGAGTCTACAACACACCATAGACATGCCGTTTAGGATGTTTCCCTCTGTTCTTCGTCTACAGCTATTCTCTCCCTCTAGCGTTATCTGGTTTACTTCTTTTCTCTCTCATACTCTGTAATTTCTTCTCATTCCAGCTTTTGAATCGAAAAGACAAGACCACCTTTGAGAAATTGGACTACCTGATGTCCAAAGAGGATAATTACAAGCGGACTCGGGAATATATCCGAAGCCTGAAGATGGTGCCCAGTATTCCCTATCTAGGTAGGAGTCTGAATGTACTTTTTTGTTTTTTTAACATGATCAGTGCCAAATAGGGTATTTTTAGTTTCTAGTTGAGAATTTTCCAGGAAGCAGCAAGGGTCATCGATAAAGAGGCAATTGCTTGGCTCCTTGGGTTGGAACTGGCTTGTTGATATTTCCCAGGGATGAGAACTCAAGGAGGGGAAGAAAGAGCAGTGTTCTGCCTCTTATATGTGTGATGTGTGAATTCCAGGCTCCCAGCTGCAGCCCAGGCAGATCGCAGTTACAGTGGTTCATCCACATTCACATCCTCCTGAACTGGCGGAACCTGGCACAAACCCTTTGTCCTTCTTCTCTGGGCACTGTTAGTGCATTTCATAAGATTTGTACAAACAATTAGAATAATAATTATTAATTTTTCTGTTAGAAAATAATGTGGGTTCACTGTATGGAATTAGGAGAAGAAAGTTAATATTATTAATTATCCTACTTAAAGATACTTTATTCATATCTTATTTATTTAGACATATATAAACATGTTTACTCTATCTTGGAAACCTAGTGTTGTTATCCACATTTCTATACTATTTAAGTTGTCTGTATGTTTTACAATGAACATCTTTATTGCAAGAACTTCTATGTATGGTTATGAATATTACTTTGCAATAAATTCCTACATGTGTGATCACTGAGTCAAAACATATGCAAAAATATAAGCCTTTTTATGTATCTTTTCAAAATGCTCTCCAGAGAGGTTAACTTACACATTTATTAGAAAGTGATGAAGTTACCTCCTACTGTACATTTTTCTGTCTTTTTTCTTTCTTCTCCTTTTTAAATCTTTAAATCATTGCCAATTTGATGGGTGAAAAGTGCTTCCTGTGTTTTGGGCTTTGGTATTATGCTAATTTTAGGAAAAAGTATAAACTGAGGTTTTAATGATAATGTAAACTAAGGTTTTATAGAAGTGCTACCTGGTATTTTCAGGGATCCAGTACAATGTTTTTGAGATATATCTTTGGTATCTTTTAAAATATCTTCCATGAGCATTTTTAGATTTTCTAATCTAAAATAATTAGATTTTCTAATTCTTTCAAAGCCAGCTTGGAAAATTTAGATTTTAGTAGGATATCATCTATTTGATCCAAGTTTTCAAAATTATTAGTGTAGAATTGTGTGTGTGTGTGTGTGTGTGTGTGTGTGTGTGTGTGCGTGTGTCTGTGTACATGCAGTACCAGGCATTGAGCCCAGGGCCTTTACACTGAGCTATCTCCTCAACCCTTTAAAAAATATTTTTTAAATTTTGAGTCAAGGTCTTACTAAGTCACTAAGTCACTAAGTTGCTCAGGCTGGGCTCAAACTTGCAATCCTCCTGCCTCTGCCTCCCAGGGTGCTGGGGTTATAGATGTGTGTCACCGTGCTCATGTTCCATTTCATTTTTTAACCATGGTGTATTACACTGAATCATTTTATAAATTTGAGCCTCTATGTATATATGGTTATATTTGCTTTTGTGTTCCTAATAGTTTATATTTTTGTGTTTTCTTTTTTAAAAATTTGCCTTGCTAGAAGTTTATCTGTTGGTTTTTCCAAAAAATTAGATTTTAGACTTATTCATCAGGCACACTATTTTCTAATTTTAATACATTGTATTTTATCAATCTATACATTTAACACAGGATGTATCTTTAAATTGATGATAAAGCATTGTAACATTGCTTCACTGGCACATTGTTTCTTAGTGACACATAAAAGAAATTCACCTTTATAAGAGTTATGTATAATTTTATACTATGGAAACAGTTAAGTCATTAAAATATCCTCCAATTGCTTCTTTTGGGCATCCTACATGTTTTGATGTATAATATTCTCAGTGATTTTTAAAATATTCTGTAGTTATAGCTTCAATTTTTCTTTTATTCAAGTATTAGTGGTTTTTTTAATTATCAAGATCTTTGGATATTTTTCTAGCAGCTTCATTGAAATAATTACTATGTAATGCATTTAAAGTGTACCATTCAGCTTTTTTTTAGTATATTCACAAAAGATGTAGCCATTAGCACAGTCATTTTTAAAGCATTTTTATCACTCTAAAAAGAAATCCCTTAATCCATTAATGATCACTCCCATTTCCCTCTGGTCACCCTCCTCCCATGCTCAGCTCCTAAGCAACCACTAATCTACTTTCTGCCTTCAGAGATTTGCCTATTCTAGAAATTTTATATAAATTGAATCATGCCTGTTGTCTTTCATGGCTACCTTCCTTCTTTCAGCACCCCCTCTTTTCAAAAGCCACCCATATTGGAATAGGATCAGTATCTGATTCTTTCTTTTTTTGGTACCAGGGATCGAACTCCCAACCTTCCACTTGCGAGGCAGGTGGCGGAACCACTGATCTAAATCCCCAGCCCACTTGGTTCTTTCTTATTGCCAAATGGTAACCCATTGTATAGAGATACACTGCATTTTATTTATCCATTCATTTGGTGGACATTTGAGTTGTTTTCACTATTTGGCCATTATAAATAATAGCCACTGCTATGAATGCCTTTTTTTTAAGTTGCAGTGTTTTTACATTGGTTTATAATATGTGACATGTATATTATCTAGCTTTTAAAAAATATTTGAGATTTTTATAATCAATTTTTATAAATGTTTCATGGGTCCCAGAAAAGAAGGTATAATTTCTCAAATTATTCTTATAATTGTATTATGGTATTCAAATTATTAAATTTTGACAACTTGGTCTATCAAGAACAAAACTAGATGTTCAAGTCCCTTTGTATGTTTAGTAGTTTCTGCCTTGTGCATTTGTTAGATAAGAATCTATAACAGCTGTAGATTCATTGTGAAGTGTCCCTCAAACAAACTTGGTTCCAAAAGCTGGGCATGGTGGCGTGTGCCTATAATCCTAGCATTCAGGAGGCTGAGGCAGGAGGATTGCTGTGAGTTCGAGGCCAGCCTGGACCACAGAAGTGAGACCCTGTCTCCAAAAAAACTTGGTTCCAGCTTGTGACTTGCTTTGACTTCCTTGATATAAATCGTGTGACACTTATTTTATTTTTCATTTGCATTTATTTTATAAATCTTTGACTGCATTTTAGATTTTAATATTTTAAGTTTCTTTGTTTTAGGCGTGATCCCTGCAAATAGAATTCAGTTGAACTCAGTCTTAAGAGACTGCCTTTTTGTAGGGGATGTACTTCTTACACACCTGTTTAGTCTTATGCCATATAATTGAATTGAATGCCATTCTGTGCTTTCTTTTTTTCATGCTTTCTTTGTTCTCTTCTTCCCACTTGCCATAAACTATAGTATCTTTCCACGTGGTGGCTGGCAGATCCCTACCTTGGAAGGGCATGTTGATGTGTACAGCTCCCAAGTCCATTCCCACTCTGGGTGAGGCTAAGTGAGAGATGGGATTTACGATACAAGAGTGAGGGTAGCCGGGGCCCAGCACTGGTTCAACTAGTGGTGGTGCTCCAGGATGGTGGAGGAGGCCTCTTTTCTCTAAGAGGAATGATCCTGAGAGCTGCTGTGCATTATCTGCTCTCCCTTTCTCTGTCTTGCACTTGGCTGGGCATTTGAATGCATTATCTCATTGAATGTTCACAATAGCCCAGGCACTGAGAGGTTGCCTGGGGTCATGTTAACTGCAAAGTGGCAGAGCCAGGACTGGACCCAGATGGTCTAGCTCTAAGCCCTAAGCTCTTGACACTGCCCTCTCCTGACTTCCTGTCTCCACTGTTCAGGTCATTACTTTTTCACCCCTCTCCTACCACCTGTATTTCCTGTGCCATTTGTAACTGTATTGGCACTGGCACTATGCAAAATAAATGAACATCTCCACTGTTTTTTGTGATGCAGTGCTGTCTTGGGCATCTAATGTCGTTTGTTAGCCTGCATCAGCCTTTGGGCCCCTTGTCCCTCACAGTGTCTGGACGGATGCATCCCTCCTTGTTCTGATCACCTCATCTCTGGTGCCTCTTCCTGGCAGGTGCTTCCCATTAGTCCCTACAGGCCCTGTTCTCCCACACAGCCTTCCTGCCAGGGAGCTGCTGCAACGTCTGGCTCTTCAGCCTTGTGATGATTCCCCTCTCTCCAAGCCAACTGGACTGCGTTTCTCCTAGTGCCCCTAAATGACCCTGACAAGTTGGGGGATGAGCTGGAGGTACTGACTCTCACTGCTTTCTGTTCCCAGGACAGTTTGTGAGGTTTTACCACCCAAGCTCTGCAGTTTGCATTGAAAATCATGAAGCAGGATCTCCTTCTGAGGGTTAGTGGGGGCATCTGTGGGATGAGGGGCCCTGGGCTCCAGCTACCCCTCCGAATGCTGCAGACAGACCTGCCCAAACCTAGGCTGTGGATTCAGTATCGGATTCCTCCTGAAAACCCAACCTGTCCCGGGGATAAATTTTGTTTATCTAAAGAGGAATAGTTACATAATTCCTGGAAAGTACAATATAGGAAAAAATGTCTGAAACTATTTGTTTTTCCCCTGGCAAAGTCTCGGTGTGGGTCTTTTCTTGCTGGGGTGGGAGGAGCATTAGGTCCCTTGTATTTCAAGCTGCTTTGACGGTTCTATAGCTCGAGACTGTATGCTGCTTGGGCTGTTGTTTACCTCTAACAGCAAATGTGGCTTTCATTTTTGTAACAGTTCTCTTATGCCTCTGTGGAAGGTTTTATGCTAACTAGGTTCCTGTCTGTTCTCCACGTAAAGATGCCCTGGTGGAGTGCTAGCCATCATTCCTAACTGCCGTGTGGGTGTGTACTCTGACTCCTTCGTTGCACATTTTAGAACCAATTGGCTGCATCTTGGTGTCCTGAGATCTTTGTGAAACATAATTTTAAAAACACTGAGGAAAAACTTATTATCTTTAAAACCTAAGACTTTGAATCAAACAGTTTTGTCCACATTACTTCAAAGTGAAACTGGTAATGGGAAGTAGGCCAACTATTTGCAGCTAATTAAATACCTAACCCTTACTGAAATGATACAAAAGCAGGCAAAGAGTTTCTGA